CACAAGGCGGAAGTGCCTTGGTAAAGATATCAACAGTGTTGGCCTAAGAGGCCACGTAAGCAAGGCACAGCTGACCGCGCTGCTGCAGCTCACGAGCAAGGAAGTAGCGAAGAGCAATGTGCTTTGTTCTGTGCTCCAGTCTGTGCTCCCGACACAAGGCCAGCATGGCCTTGTTGTCTACGTACAGAACTGGAGGAGAACGAGGCGGCTCTCCTAGGTCAGTCAGCAGGTAGGTGAGCCAGCGTAGCTCATGTGCAGCCATGGCCCCCACGTAGATCTCAGCCTCACAGCTGGAGGTGAGAACAGAGGACGAGCGGGTAGACCGCCACGAAACAGAGCCGGAGCCAAGGCTGAAGGTGTAACCCTGTGACGACCGCTGCGTAGCCTGGTCGTCAGCCCAAGAAGCATCTGCGTGACCTGTGAGGACCACTGGACGCCGCCCTCCAAGCACTAGCCCCATGCCCGACGTACTGCACAAGTAGCGCAACACCCTCTTCGCTGCAGCCATGTGCTCTGGTCGGTGTCTCCCAGGAGCAACATAGCGTGCCAAGATGCTAAGAGGGTATGCTAGGTCAGGTCGTCTTCAGGTCATCAGGTACATGAGGCAGCCAACAAGCTCTGGGTACGGGCCACTCGACTCTACGGACTCATCCGAAGGCAGAGCTGAGAGCGAGTGGCGAGTAGGCAGAGGAGTGGCCTGAGGCGAGGAGTACGTGAAGTCGAAGCGCTGAAGGACCTGCTGCACCTTGTGTGACTTAGTCAGGGTAATGGTGCGCTGTGCTCTGTCCCGGGTGATCTGCAAGCCAAGGTAGCTACGCAATTCACCCAGGTCTGTGCACGTGTGTCTCTTCTATAGCTCGGACTTCACGTGGGCGAGTCCAGCAGTGTTAGTAGTGGCAAAGACCAAGTCGTCGACGTACACGAGGATGTAGAACGGCGGCAAAGAGGTGTCGGTGCGCAGAAACAGCGACGGGTCGGCAGTAGAAGGAGCAAACCCAAGAGCCGCAAGTGTAGTCCTTAGTGTGTCGTGCCACTTACGGGGCGCCTGGCGGAGACCATAGACTGGCCGCCAGAGGCTCCACTGGGTACAAGGAGGAAACGGCCCAGTGAAGCCAGATCTCCTCGTGCAGGCTGCCCTGCAAGAAAGCTGTGCTGAAGTCAAGAGAGTGAAGCTCGTAGTCACACTAAACGGCTATGTGCAGCAGCACCCGAAGAGTAGTCATCTTCGGGGTGGGGGAGAAGGTCTGAAAGTAGTCAACTCCCTGCCGCTGACTGAAGCCTCGAGCCACGTAACGCGCCTTGAAGACAGGCGGAGAACCCGGCGGCCGCTTCACCCTGAAAATCCACATGCCAATGATGATGTTCGCCCCAGGTGGGGGAACCTCGTCGACGTAGGTGCCTGTGGACTTCTAGGAAGCCATCTCTGCGTCCATGGCTGACTTCCACTGTGAGGAGTAGGGACCCTCGATCGCCTCAGCGTACGATCGAGGAGTCGGGATTTCTGGTGCATCCGGGTCTCCCTCAGGGGCAATCAGCGTGGACACGAGATGAGGCAAAGCAGCAGCAAAACACTGGAACTCCTCCTGCCTGTCCTCAAGGACATCCGTGCTAAGAGCACACTCACCCCCGACGGACGGAGGACAGACAGACTCAGACTCAGCGACAAGACTAGCAGCGTAGTCTAGACGACAACGAGCAGCGAAGTCAACGAGCTCAGCAACCAAAGCAGACGTAGAAGTGGAATCAAAAGAAGGGTCAGTGACAACAGTAGCCAGGAGACGCGTGACAGTAGGACTGGCAGCACGAAAAGAGTCTGACTCAGGGTCAGCAAGAGTAGGAAGAGAGGACTCTGGAGGAGACAGCAACAGGACACGCAGAGGAGCAGTGGAAGGACGCAGCGACATCTGGTGTGTGCCGGGGACCGCAGGAGGACACGGACGCGGAGCACGACCACTAGTGCGAGCAGCACAAACAGGCGACACAGGACGAGACGCAGGCTAACGACGCTCAGCAAGACCTCTAGTAGGACTAGTGTAGGGAGAAGGAGCAGGCTGGGGGGAGGCGGGCTGTAACTGTGACCATGATTGGACAGGCTGTGGACATGCTAAGGGAGGAGCAGGACAAGTAGAGGGCGGGAGACCAAGAACCTGCTCAAGGAGCTGAACGAAGTACGGCCACGGCCGCGCAGCGCCTCCAGAAGTAGCAGGGACAGCACCAGTACCCCCAGCGGCAGCACCAGCGCCAGCAGCACCTCCAGCTCCAACTGCGCCAACACCAGCACCCTCAAAAGCACCAGCGCCAGCAGAACCACTAGCGCCAGCACCCCCAGCAGCTCCAGCTCGAACAGCTCCAGTAGCACCAACTCCAGCAGGACCGTCAACTCTAGCACCGCCATCAGCTCCAGCAGCACCACCAGTAGGACTCCTAGTCCCAGCAGCTCCAGAACCGCCAGGACGAGCACCTGCAGGACCAGGAGCAACAGTAGGAACTCCACCTGCAGCAGCACGGCTCCAGCGCCGGGCAAACCACTCGAACAGATCCTGCGGAGAGAGTAGCTCCCACCACGACGAAGCACCGCCAGAGGCCACACGAGCAGACCCAGCACCCCCAGGCTCCGCACCTCCAGGCTCCGAACCCCCAGGCTCAGCACCCCGAGACTCAGCACCCCCAGGCTCCGCACCCTAAGACACGGCACCCGCAGACCCGGCACCCACACGCTCAGCGCCCCTAGCAGCACCAGAGTCAACAGCAACCTCGACAGGCTTACCTGCGTCTACCTGGGACACACCTGACGGGGCAGGACCCTGAGGGGGGAGGGGGTTTACCGGGGGAGGACCTGGCGCGAGGAAGAGCGGCGGCAGGGGGAGGGGGGCAGTGCGGTAGGGGAAGAGATCGTAGTAAGGCACCGACTCGTCAAAGGTGACGTCCTGGGAGGACAGAACACGGCGCGAGGTGGGGTGGTAAAACTGCCAACCAGGCGCGTCAGAGGGGAAGCCAAAGAAGACGCAGGGAACAGCACGGGGGGACAGCTTGTCCGCAGACAAGTCGCGGACAAACGCCCGAGATCCTCAGACCCGAAACGCAGACGCATCGCCAACCTTCCCCGTCCACCGCAAGGTGGGGGAGGTCTCTGGCAAGGAGACCCGGGGCTGAAGGTTGAGCTCGTGCGCCGCGTACTGAACCGCAAACGGCCACAGAAAATGGGGAGCAGCCGCATGGATCATGGACGTACGAGGGACGTCCATGACCATGCCAATGCGGCGCTCGGCAATCCCATTTTGCTGTGGAGAGGCCGGAAGCGTGAAGGTCTGGCGTATGCCCTGTGTACGACAGAAGGCTCCCAGACGGGCAGAGGAAAACTCCCCGCCTCTGTCAGAGTGCAGGCGCATAACAGGAAAGTCCGAGCCGAAACACTGCCTGAGCTGGAGACGAGCTGCGCGGATCCAGTCGATCAACACCTCAGTGACGTCACCCTTGCTGCGCAAGGGGAACACTGTGGTGTAACGCAAGTAGTCGTCAACTACCAACAGTAAGTAATGCTCGTGACCCTGGCCACAGACGCGGGCGGAGCCCCACACATCTATGTGAAGAGTTTGCAGGGGAGCTTCTGTCGGAGGAAACTCGGAGGAGTGAGGAGCGGCGCGCTGCCGCCCCTCGACACAGGGGACGCAGGTAGGGGCCGGCCCCGGAGGTAGGGGAGGGAGGGACCGGGGGAGACCAGAGACAAGGACACAGGAGACCATGCCTCGGAGACGAGGCAGGGAGGGGTGACCAAGGCGGTGGTGCCAAAGGAGAGTCTGGTGGGACAGGAGACGACACGAGCAGGGCGCAGACTCAGGACCAGACCTGTACGCTGCAGCAAACACCTGACTCGACGCAGCTACCTGGCCAGACTCAGCCACAGGAGGAGACTCTGTGGTCAGTGTGTACAGGCTCGACCCTGGCTGACGGGTAAACGTGGCCAAGTGTCCGCCCGTCCAAGCACACGTACAGTGGGTCACCCGCTGACTCGCAGGCGTGTACTGGTCAACCCCCCGATCCTGTATATCAGCTCCGCTCACCAAGTTCGTAGATAACGAGGGGAGGTAGAGACCTTACAGGGTGCTAGAGGGGGCTGCCGGGCACGGTACGACAGTGGAGAAGCTAGCAAGGACAGGACCCCCAGAGGGGTCCGCCAGGGAGACCGCAACCGGCCGACTAAGCGGCGTAAGCGTGGTGCGGTCTTGAAAGAAGGAGCGGGAAGCACCCGAGTCAAGGGTGAAGGTGTGCAAGGCCTGAACCAACGTGGTACCTGAGAGAGCAGACTCACCAGCACCTGGGGCAGCAGACGCACTAGCACCTAGAGCAGCAGCCTCACCAGCACCTAGAGCAGCAGCCTCAATGCCCGGGTCAGGCGGAACACACAGGTAATAGTCACCCGCATCACTAGTAGGCAATGCATTCATGGCAGTGAGGATGGCATCATAGTCACGAGTATAGATATCTACCCGCAGCCGAAGCAGCTCCACCCAGTCGGGGAGCTCAGCCGCGTCGCCAAACTCCGTACGCCAGGCGACGCTCAGACGGGCGAAGCAGCGGGACTCTGCGTGACCAAGCGTCCCGCAAGGTTGACCAGTCCGAGCACCAGTGCGAATGACGTTCGGACAGCGAGCAGTACCCCCCGACCCGTCACGCTGAGCGTACCGCTCACGAAGCTGCTGGGGTGAAAGAACCGCGTGCGGACGACGCTGAAGCTGCACTTGGCCACTACAAGCAGCTGCCGAACTACTTACTCCAGGACTACTCCCACTACGGCCACCCCGACAACCCCAACTAGCGTACCACTCACGAAGCTGTTGGGGGGTGAGGGACTCACGCGGGCGACGCTGCAGCTGCACCTGGCCACTACAAGGAGCTGTGGAACTACTCACTCTAGGACGACTCCCACTACGGCCACCCCGACAACCCCAACTAGCATACCACTCACGAAGCTGTTGGGGGGTGAGGGACTCACGCGGGCGATGCTGGAGCTGCATATGTCCACGCCAGGAGCAGCAGTAGCCGTAGATTGAGCAGCAGCAGCAAGCGCAACAGTAACAGTAGTACGGGCAGGGCAGTGCGCACCAGTGGCAAGAAGGGCAGGCGTACGACGGTGGCAACGGCGAGGCCGCTACCAATGTAGGGCGAGAGCTCCGCGGCAGCTGCAGGGGTGGCTGCTCCAAGGGCGGCAGTTGTAGGGGCGGCTGCTCCAGGGGCGGCTGCTCCAGGGGCGGCTGCTGCAGGGGCAGGTGCTCCAGGGGCGGCTGCTGGAGTGGCGGCTGCTCTAGGGGCGGCTGCTGCAGTGGCGGCTGCTCCAGGGGCGGCTGCTTCAGTGGCGGCTGCTCCAGGGGCGGCTGCTGCAGTGGCGGCTGCTGCAGGGGCGGGTGCTCCTGCGGAGATAACTACTACAACGGGAGCTTAGAGTACTGGCTAGGCACGTGTGCTCGTGTGATGTCTGCGTTCATTGGTCCTTAGACGTTTTCCTAGTGCTCACACTGCTTGCTAGTTCATGGGGCAATTTTTTTTTTTTTTTTTTTTGCAAGAGTTTCACTAGAGAACGTTGTCAATAATAGTACAATCAAGTTGGCATGGCCAGACTACATCAGAGCTAGCATTCAGGTTGGTCGACTGCGAGCACAGCATGGTCGACCGCGTTCCAGCACGACTTGGTCGACCGCGCTCCAGCAGTGCAAAGTCGACAGCTTGCCAACGCTGCAGGTTGACGGTGTGCCAGCATTGCTCACGCAGGACAGCAGTGCACCCGCTTTGCAGGTGCGCGCAGATGATTGGCATGCAAAGTCTCGTCATCTGCACAGCGCACACACCAGGTCAACCTCGGGCTAGCGACTGCCTCTGATCCGCCACGACGACCTCGGGATACCACCATGGAGGTCGGTCTCGCCAACTTCGCCTGGGTGACCGTCGCACTCCTTCGCAGAACCTCGTCACCCAGGTATCCTGGTCGGCCGGGCAACTATGTCGACCAGCTGCTCCTGTATGTGCTCGTCGACCTCCCAAGTCGACAACCACACCAAGTCGACCTCACCAGGTCGACCACTCCTCTGGTCGACCAGCTCCAGGTCAACGTCACTCCTGGTCGACCAGTGCAGTTGTCAGCCGACCACCCAAGTCGGCTACCCAAAGTCGGCGTCACCAGGTCGACGCCCCTTCTACGTCGGCGCCGACTTCCAGGCTGACCTCTCGAAGTCGGCGTCCTCCCAAGTCGGCGCCGACTTGCAAGTCGGTGACCTTGCAAGTCGGTGACCTTGCAAGTCGGTGACCTTGCAAGTCGGTGACCTTGCAAGTCGGTGACCTTGCAAGTCGGTGACCTTGCAAGTCGGTGACCTTGCAAGTCGGTGACCTTGCAAGTCGGTGACCTTGCAAGTCGGTGCCGACTTCCAGGTCGACGTGCCACATCGCCGACCACCAGTTGAAGTCGGCCGCCGGCTTCCCAAGTCGGCGGCATTGTAGTGGCGCCGTGCAAGTCGACCAACCCCGTCGACCAGCTCGTCCAAGTCGGCGTCCCCACTGCTGCAAGTCGGCTGTACCTTCCGTACACCCCACCACAAAGTCGGCTCCGCCCAAGCGTGGACGGGGCCAACACACAACTCCCGTTGACAGCTCCGGGGCGGCTTCTGCAGGGGTGGCTGCTCCGAGGGCGGCTGCTGCAGTGGCGGCTGCTCCAGGGGCGGCTCGGCTGCTGGGCGGCTCGGCGGCTCGGCTGCTGGGCGGCTTGGCAGCTCGGATGCTCGCTAGGGACGGCAACGGGGCCGGGTAGGGGCGGCGACGGGGCCACTAGGGGCGGCGACCGGGCCACGTAGGGAGGGGAGCGGCGATGGGGCCGCTAGGGGCGGCGACAGGGCCGCGTAGGGGCAGCGACGAGGGCGCGTAAGGGCGGCGACGGGGCCGCGTAGGGAGGGAGGCGGCGACGAGGCAGCTAGGGGCGGCGATGGGGCCGCGTAGGGGCGGCGACAGGGCCGCTAGGGGCGGCGACGGGGCCGCGTAGGGGCAGCGTCAGGGCCGCGTAGGAAGGGAGGAGGCGTCGAGGCCGCTAGGGGCGGCGACGGGGCCGCGTAGGGGTGGCGACGGGGCCGCTAGGGGTGGCGATGGGGCCGCGTAGGGGCGGCAACGGGGCCGCGTAGGGAGAGAGGTGGCGACGGGGAAGCTAGGGTCAGCGACGGGGCCGCGTAGGGGGGGCGACGGGGCCGCGTAGGGGCGGCGACGGGGCCGCGTAAGGAGGGAGGTGGCGACGGGGCCGCTAGGGGCGGCGACGGAGCCGCGTAGGGGCGGCGACGGGGCCGCTAGGGGCGGCGACGGGGCCGCGTAGGGGCAGCAACGAGGCCGCGTAGGGAGAGAGGCGGCGACGGGGCTGCTAAGGGCGGCGACGGGGCCGCTAGGGGCGGTGACGGGGCCGCGTAGGGAGGGGAGCGGCGACGGGGCCGCTAGGGGCGGCGACAGGGCCGCGAAGGGGCGGCGACGGGGCCGCGTGTGGAGGGGAGCGGCGACGGGGCCGCTAGGGGCGGCGACGGGGCCGCTAAGGGTGGCGCGAGGGGCCGTGAGAGGGGCCTCTAAGAGAGCTCGACAGAAGGGCGGCCCACAAGGCGCGCCTCGGGCAGGAGCGACTGGCGCTCCGGTCAGAAATAAAATTTCAGTGGTGGGCCCAAGGAAGCGTTCCCAGAGGGAACCTGCTCTATACCATGTGAAAGAACAAGGAATGATTGCATTGAGCAGCATGAGGAGTACAAGTAGGAAACCCTAAAGTGTTGTACCCCATATGAGCTACCCCACTACAGCCTACACAGACTATAGTACATAAGTTTGATATGCGAGGGTCGCCACGAGAGGCACCTACAGCTACAATGCTCTTCTCAGCTGCAAGGAGTTCCTTCTCGAGCAGGGCGAAAGTGAGATCGGTGGGTGAGAGAGCGAGAATCTCATATGACTGACGATCGTGGTCTGAAGCGAGCCTCGATGAACAGATCGCCAGAGTTGACAATATCGCGACAGATCACTTTTCCAGCACACGCGGACAAGGAGGCTACAGCTTTAGGACCTAATTTTCCTGGTTTCGTAAGAGCTACTTCTTTACTTTCGACAGCGTTACTACCTTCGTGTTTTGCAGATTTTTCTCGTAGCACTGCGGAACTGACTGAGGTCAACCGCGGGAGACTTCAGAAAAGCAAATCTGACAACAGATTCTACTTATCTTCAAACGAGATTAGTGAACAACTGCTCTACCGTGCGAAGCGTTTTGGCACAAACGGATCGAGTAGAGAATCCAACGACGACAGCTGTTGAAGTTGTCCCTGATTCTAACGAAACAGATTTCGAAATTACATCCTCAATGGAGAATTTCGTTCAAGGTGCAGAAGCCGCACATGCGGCCCAAGCTGCTCAGCGCCAAGCGTTAGAAGCAGCTGCTCAAGCAACGAATGGTCAAGGAGGCCAGGCGAACGAAAAAAACACAACAGGAGGAGGTCAAGGTGATGCGCAGGGAACTGAGAGAGATCAGCATCTGCCGCAACAGCTTCGACAGCAGCAGGAACTTCTGCAGCAGCAAATTTGGGCAACTGCCTTTGAAGCTTTTTGGGCTGCTCAACGGAATCCACATGTGCATTTTCTTCAACTGCGAACATGGAACAGACACATGAAGACAAAGTTCCTGATGTGTTCGTCAACCAACTGCAGTACTACTACAAACTCTTCAGGGAGTCGACTGTCAAGCAACTGAAACTGACTACCAAAGTGAAGCGACTTCGGAGTCCGTTCTCCAAATGGAAGCTCCCGAAGAGTTTCAAGTCTACCCCAATGACCTATTTGGGGACTGACGCACAAATCAAATTGGAGGGGAATGAATCATTCAAGCCGCTAGAGCAGGAATACCACAAATCATGCTTTGAAACCCTCATCAAGCTTCATGAGAAGGAGTTGCAGAAGCTAACTACAAGCATCAAGAATGCCAATGAATATTTCCGTCTTCAATTGCAAAACACTCGGGAGATGGGACCATCAGTTCTATTCACTGAGAGCTTCACCCACTGGGAACAAAAGCTGTTGGCGCTGTTCTCCAAGGCCATTAACGACATTATGGTCGAGGAGACAGTCTCGTACATGAACGTCCAGCAAGCTGCCCAGCTGGAGGCACAGCGTAAGATGGGTGCAAAAGCAGCAGCAGAAAACATGGAGGTGGAACCATCGGTGCAAGAGCTTGTAGACAAGGCTACCCGCATCAACAAGGATAACTTCTCTAAGAGGCTGGAAGCCATTGAGAAGAAGCTTTTCAAGAAAACTGAAACGCAGGCACGGGGGCAGCAGGGCCAGCCAAAACAGCAGCAGCAGCAGCAACAGCATCGGCAGCAGCAACTCCGTCAGCAGCAGCAGCAGCACCAGCAGAAAACCCCACAGGGATACCACTCGCAGCAGACATTTACCACTCCAACCTTCAACCACCAACCTCAGCTTAGGTTTGATCGACCTTTTCCTCAAGCCTTTAACCAACCCTTCCACCAACCAAATCCAACTCAAGGAGATCGGAACAATCAGTGGCAGCAGCAGTACGGGATCCAGAATCCAGGCCAGAGCCACTACATCCCTCGTGATCAATCCTTTGATCCAAAAAACGGATATGGGAGAGGGATGGGGAGGGGGAGTGGGGGAAGAGGAAGAGGACGTAAAGGAGAAGGAGGAGGACGCTTCTGAGGAAGAGGCATCCTTTGGGGGAGAGGGTAAGTGAGATGAATGATCATGACTTGGATTTGTTTTACTTCGGGAGAATGACGGAGTCCCAGCTCAAAAGGAGAGTATGGAATCGAAGCATCTTCAACCTCAGCAGCAGGAAACTCACGGCTGATGAAGTAAGGATCTTGGGGTTAGGACTGAATTTTGTTCCTATGCCAATAGTTGCTCAGTATACTTCAGATGTGGATGTTTTTCAAAGTTTTGATAATTTCAGTAGAAATCCCAGGTTGAGAATTTTCTTTGGTGATACAGTTAGGGGGAAGGGATTTAGACTTCCAGATTCTTCTTGGGATGTTCCTTTGGAAAAGAGAAATGTATGTATTGATGTGCTAGTGGATGAACACAGGGGGATGCTTCAGCATAAACTGCTGGATGCAAGACCCAAGAGGCAATCAAACATGCCCAGAAATCTGAGGCATGCTTTGAAAACCCTAAGGACTGACTTTTCTATCCTTGTGAAACCTGCAGGTAAAATTTTCAAGACCACAGTGATGGATAAGAGTTCTTACATCCAGATGGTCATGAAACATCTTCTTGATCAACTGGTCTACAGACCTGTGGACATTGTCCCCATGTCTCAAATTCAAGAAGGGTTTTCAAGGATACGAAGAGACTTTGGTCCTTGCCTTTCAAAAAAGGTTTGGGATTATCTCGAAACTCCACCTGAGAATGGATGGAAACCTG